ACCCCAATGACAAGTTTATTATCAGGGTAGGTGACGCCACTCCAAGACCTCATTTCTGGATCTCTAATCTCTGCGTGGACCTTGACACATTGATTGACATGCTTCAAGCTGGCAGCCTCGCGCTTAGCGCAGTCCAAAGGTGGGTTGAACTCGATCTCCTCGAGTACATTCAGCGGTGCTGTGCAAATAACCTTTTTAGCAGAGAAATATTGGCCGTCTTTCGTTCGCATTTGTACCAGCCCCTTTGAAGAGTCGATGTGAACAACAGGGGTGCTGAAAGAGTACGATAGATTCCCGCTTGCCTGCGCCTCCTCGAAAAAGCGCTTTGCAAAGCTAGATTGGCCACATTTCAGCTTGAAGACAATAATAGTGTCCAGTAGCGTTTTGTAGTCGTAATTGGCTGCTGCCCACCATCGGAGAAAATCAAGAAATGCTGAATTTTCTGTCGTTCCGCCACTACAAAGAAGCACAAAAGCTTCAACTGCATGCCGCTCGTCGCTGGAAAGGTCGTGGCTGATTTGGGCAATTCTGTCCGCCACAGACAGATTTGCATATTTGTACACTTCTTCGTTCGAGTATGCACTGAAAGGAAATGGCATCACGCTCTTCCCGAAGACGCCATCGACGTTGACGAATTTCTTAACGGCTCGAGCGAATAGTTCATCCTCAAGATTGTTAGTTAAGAAGACCAAGTAATGCCTCAATTAACTCACCTCTTCTTCGTGACTCATGTTCCTAGCACCAGTTGAAGTTCTGAGAGTGAAGAAGTTGTGCTTTTTGGTGTAGTCGGTGGAATGGACAAGATGGTCTTTCATACCATATCTCGACAACTCGCGATACACATGTGGCTGGAACCAGTGCACCCATGTACCTCCCATTTCATAAGGATACCCATCAATCTCGGAAGACCAGGTTCGGCCGCCAATCCTATCTCGTCCTTCCAGCAACAGTGTCTTCAAGCCTTTATTTTTTGTTAGCCTAAACAAAATCCAATGTAAAGGTCCATTTCAGCCAAACTGACCAGTAGTTGATGTATCTCTAGCTGCTGTAAGCCCTGTATAACCAGCGCCGATAACAATAACATCAAACATGTCGTTGGTATTTCGAATCATCTGCGACGGTTCTATCACTGCGATGGACGGGATGCCAGCTTGGAGGCCGGAGCCCGGTGTCCAATGCCAACCCTCTCGGGACTTGTGCATAATTGCTGCCTGCTTATGGTGGTAATATGGTCTTGAAAAGTACTCTTGACTAAGGTGAAAAAGGTCATTTTGAAACATTGGTAGTAGGTCGAGTCCTGGAAATATATAGGTTTCCGAGGCAGAGAAGCATAATTCCGACGCGTATCTTCTCTATCGAATTAGGCAACAGAAAAGAGATTCCTCCAGATTTCTCATAATAAATAAACTAAGATGTAGACTGTAGATAACAACTAAACGTATTTGAAACATTCTCTGTTTTAAGCTTCGTGGCAATACCACGAAGTTCCGTCCGAGCTTCCTCTTCCGAGATATAAAGTTTGGCTCGATGCATGTTCAACCGCGCTTGTCTAAGGTAGTTAGACCACTCATTCAACATTCCTTTTTTGGACGCGAGAGTCTGGGGTGCAGCATGGTGTGGGGCAAGTGGGGTGGCGGGTCTATTCCGCTGGTTTCCATGATTGTATTTGAAGACCTCGTCAACAGATTTATTAAAGAGACTGAAGCCCACGAGTCTTGATGTGGACATAATCAACACTGTACAATCCACTGCTATCTGTGCTTCTGCTCGACGGCTAAAGAGAGATCTGCGAAGATGGGCCCTATTGAAAAAGAGAAGACTGGGACTCAAGCTTATAGAACAGCGCCCTTCAGTCAGCTTGAGCCAGGTATGCACACTATTGTCTGCTCTCCTGCTCTTCTTTCGGCCATGTTGTCTGCGCAATTAATCAGAATACTGTACAGCTGGGCTAACAGGGTGCTTGTGCAATGGCAGTTGAGACCCAGCGTGAAGGCACCTTCCGAACAGTCGAACTGTCCACCTTAGGTCTTCGACAAGAAACTCAGAGGGACATCGGACCTCTCGATACTATCTGCGTTGGTTGGAACATATGTAACAGCTGGGCTGGAGTGGCGGCGACCTTGGCTTTAACAATCGCTCAAGGTGGTTCAGTAACGCTCATTTATGGCGTTGTCGTCTGCTTCATAATGGTTGGATGCAGTGGATTGACCATGGGAGAGCTTGCTTCGGTCTACCCAACGGCGGGAGGGCAGTAAGTTTCATCTCCTTCCTCTTCTATGCGAGGATGCTCACAGCTTATTGAAGATATCATTGGACGTCTGTATTAGCTCCTCCAAAGGCTAGCCGTATCTTGGTATGTTGTCGACTGTTTGAAGGTTTCCCAGGCCACCTTTGCTGATTGCAGCGATAGAGTTATGCCTGTGGTATTACCAACGTTTACGCCTGGATTGCCACCACGGCGGGAATCGCCATTATCGTACCCCAAGTCATACTCGCTATGGTCATTCATTATCAACCTGATTACGTACCCCAGACGTGGCACTATTTTCTCCTCTATCAAGCCGTCAACTTCGTTGTTTGCGCGCATAACATCTTTACGTTGAAGAAGACTATGTGGATTAATGATGTCTCATGCAAGTATAGTATCCGCCGTCTACTACCATTGAACTGACTTTCGGGACAGTCGTCATTACTCTGACTGGCTTCGTTACTATAATTATTACCTGTCTTGCCCGGGCCCCCACAAAGCAGACTAGTGAGTTTGTGTGGACGAATTTTGTCAACGAAAGCGGGTGGCCTGCAGGCATCAGCTTCCTCACTGGGTTGGTGTCACCAAACTACATGTATGCAGGGATTGACGGCGCGATCCATCTTGCTGAAGAGTGCAAACAGGCGGAGAAAGTTGTGCCGAGAGCACTGGTCAGCACGCTGACGATTGGATTCATCACAAGCTTCATGTTCGCTGTCTCAATGACATACTGCATTACTGACTTCGACGCTGTACTTGGCACACCTACAGGGTATATAAGCGATCATGGCCGCATCTGTATGGAACACTTTGCTGATACAGGATAGATTTCCGATCTACGAGATCTGGCTACAAGCGACGCTATCCAGCACTGCAGCTACAATCTTCATGGCAATCCTTCTTACCGCGGCTACAGTAGCCCTCATTGCCGTTCAACAAACCGCTTCACGCCTAACGTGGTCCCTTGCACGAGATGAAGCTCTAGTGTGGTCCAGATTCATCGGTCATATCAATCCATCACTGCAAGTCCCAGTGTGGGCGCTCCTTGCCAACAATGCCATTGTCTTTATCATCGGCTTCATTTTTCTCGCCTCTTCGACTGCCTTCAACGCCTTCATCGGTACAGGTCTTATCCTGCAACAAGCGACGTACGCTATTCCGGCTGCTCTCCTGATATACCGGAAGCGCTCCTCAATATACCTGCCTATCAACAGGCCATTTAGGCTGGTCAGCCCCTTGGGATGGATAGTCAACTCCTGTACTGTGGTCTTTGCAATTGTAGTCTTGATCTTCTACGACTTTCCTGTCGTTATCCCTGTGAGTGGGTCGAACATGAGTAAGTCTCCCTCGAGCGTTCAGCTCACTACTCGTCACTTATCAACTAACTCAGTGTAGACTATACGTCTGCGGTGATCGGGGTCATGGCGTTATTCGCCGCCCTCAACTGGGTACTACATGCAAGGAAGTCATACCATGGCCCAAGGCTGGATTAGGGGGAGATACGAATTGTACCAGGGATGCCAGTGCTGCATCCCTCGAAACGGGACTTGAAAAAGCTCAGGAACCATTGCCAAACAGTGCGGCATATATCCTTCTTATTAGGGACCTACGCAACGCAGTAGGTACAGAGAATTAAAGTAGCTAAATGCCTTATTCAATATCACGTAGTTCTATTAACAACGACTCAACGCTTAAGAAAAAGGAAGAGTTCTCTCTCAGCCGATTCGGGTGAGAGGAAACTCTTATAGCTTCCTCCCTTTTCTGTTACGCGAAAAGGGTAGGGCGGCGTTAACCGATACCCTTGTCAACTAATATTCTTATACTTTAGCTCTCCTTAGCTTTTGCTTTCACCATCCTTTGCCTTATCCTTTTCTTCCTATACCATCCACCCGATTCGGGTGGAGAGCGTATGGTACTTGGGGATAACGGTGGGCTTGTGACACTTCTGTTTCATTGTATATTAGCTTTAAGATTTCGGAATTTCTTGAAATGACTCTTTCGCATTGAATTTCCCTTTCTAGCGCTATGAGAGAATCTCTATCGATGATTGCGGCTTTGGTGAATTAAGTATTCTTCGTCTCCCAAGCCCACAATATTCTATGGTCGAGTCTACATTAATTATGCTGCCAGTTTTGCTCATGATGCACTTAAGCAGACACCATGGTTATTTTGTTTAGAAGGCCGAAACCCTCTATCCCGAGGCGGCTCACTCGGCTCTCCACATAGGTGTTGGAACAACGCTGACAAATCGCCAATGACGCAGTATTTCACTGCATTCGTTTCAGTCCAGCAGGTCTTCTCACCTGGCCTGGCCTGTGCGCTGGCTACCAGAACAGCCGCATCTTGCACCGCTATTCCTTCATTTCCTCTCAATATCCAACGCTTAGCGAGATGCTATCTGTTGCCGGCTGTCTTATAAAACTAACCTTATTCCCTACTTGGGCACGGTAGGGACGTCTCTAGAAGCATAAGGGTCGAAGCTATTCAATAAGAAAGCTGAGCAAAGCGGCAATATGAACCAGATAGGAGCCTGCGGCAAAAGTGGAGCAGTTCCACATTCTTCAAACTCCGAATCCAGAGTGAAAAGTGCAAAGGATGCTCCAGACCACATAGGACTGACGACACAACCACACCATTATCGACAGATACCGAAACCTTCTGTTCGATGCCATGGATAAATACATGCAGCATGCAATGAAGCTGCGGTACCGGCGTATGTCCTTAGAGCTGATCCATACATATTCGATACCAATCAATTCATCAGGCCTAACTCCAAGTCGTCTATCCAGCTTCCAAAAGGGCCCAGGTCACCAAAAAAGGGATTGTACTGACTCGTAAGTGGAGAGTTGGCGTCCTCAGCACGAAGGTCTGGAAGGGGAGATGATTGAGTGTGGCCAAGGATATTAACTGAGCTTTTCCGACAATGTGTCACGCCAGCAGATCTTGAATGCACTGACGGTTGTACGGAGAGGGCCTCCTCAATATGGCTTTCCCCTTCTAGAAGCTGGTACTGTTTGCATAGCTCTGGACCAAAATCCTCAACGTATGGCGCAAACTTTGCAAAATCTCGGTCAGGTGCATCACCGAGACTCGGGCTCTGTAACGTGAGCCTCTTCATCTCGGCTAACACAGCCAACGCACCCTCTGCTGAGCCCCACCTCTTCTTCAAGTTCGTCAAAGATGATTGAATGATAGACAGCGACTCTTCAGCAGTCTCAACGAGAGAATTGTACCGCAATGCCAGCATTTGCGCGAGGCCAGCTGCAAATGCGTAAAATGTGAACACCGGTCCACAATGACAGAGCTCATCCCTGTTCAGGAGATCTTCGAATATTCCTGCCACGAAAGAGGATGCAACGAACGACATACTTATGGATTGCTTCCGTGCAGTTGAATGTCGAGACAAGATAAACAGAAGCACAAAATAGGGGACCAGGAGTTGTCTTCCCTCGAGATTATAGGTCCTTAACTGTCTCGGCGACCCATGAAAGAGATGGAATTCTGTTGGCAAATCTTTGATCCAGCGATAAAGCGCATTTTCCAAATAGGTCTGTGTTTTCACAGTCATAGTCTTCCGCCGGATATTTTCTGTTAAGTCTGCTAGGAGGCGAATGATGCCAGAGAAAGCGATGAATAACCGCGATTTGGTATTTTGGACTGGGAAGTCATCGGCTGTAAGAGGAACAACGTCACTGTCGTCAAGATTAACCGTCCTTGGTCTCCCTGTTCCTATAGAAATAACGTCATCGCGACACTGTCACTGGTCAGTAAGCCGTCAAGAGCATACTAGTAATGAGAGCAATTACCACAATTGACCACCATAGCCTACGTCGGAGGCTCTTGTTTTTTTGCGCAACAGAGTCCTTGTGTAACCCAATTTGGTACGCCAATCCAACCGCAATCCGAATCCAGAACCCGCTTGTACTAGTAGAGATGTGCTCGGGACCTGTGGGATTATACCACTGGAGCAGTGTGACTGCGATTATGGAGCTAATCGCGTCTCTCTCATGGCCCAAGATGAACAGCAACCTGCTTTTGCGATAGAAATCCTCAGCCGAAGCCGAGAGAACATTGCTTGATGCAACACGGCTGCCGGCCAGGAGTACGGCATTGAGCAATAAAGGAGACGATCTGTTGCTCAAAAGTGCTTCCACATCTGCGGGTTCCAGGATAGGTGTCCATGGCGAGCAGTACTTGAAGTAGCTATCGATGAGACTTGACAGGATCGATCTTTGCGGCAACTCGAACGCATTTTGTAGTTGAAGCAGCTCCAAGTCTCTCTGAGACAACCGAGAAGTAACACTCCGAACTTGTACCATTTCCTCGCGGAATCTGATGTCGTTATTCCCAATATAGTCGCTTCGGCCCACATGGGTTTCTGTAGCTGTCACATATTCAGGGGACTCTATGGCTTCTCTCTGCGGTCTCTGTCCAAAATTTTCTGATACTACCTCGATATCTGGGCTTTCCCACAGTCCCACATGCTGATGTACCGCGGCTTGGGTTCGGTTCTCTCCCAGAGCAACTGGGCGAAAACTCTGCGCCCCGGTCAGTACCGATTCTTCGTCACCCTTAAGGTAGCGAGAAGCTTCCTGGTTTTGTATGTTCGTATGGCTTGTTGATAAGTATCGTGGGCGCTTTCTTTCATGTGGTTTGCAAGGAAGCCCCCCTAACCTGCAATGGGTACATGGTTGACGGTGTGAACTGAGATCACATTTGATCTGCACGGTTCGTATCACTTCTCTTCATCTGACACCTTCGGGCATTCGGTACCTTTCTTCGATGGCATATACCACATGCTTTCCTTGTCCTGCTTGGTGCTAACATTTGTGTCGCGACTGCCTAACAGAGTACGGAGGTCCCTCTCAAAGATGTTTGAAATCGCCGAGCTGAGGAATATTTGAAACACTTAGTTCAGCTGAAGATACCTCCGATCAATTGTGGGGGTGCGGCTTACGCGGCGAGACATGGGTATCTGTAAAGACCCCTCTGAGCTTCATTGTACTAATAGAACCTTGATCCTCGTACGGAGGAAACCTAGTGAAATGACAGTTGCGATCCCCGCAGCCCGAGACAAATTGTAAACCATCCCCCCTCTTTTAATACCTTTCAGAGATCGACACCGTCGGGAAACTAGAGTTCGGCAGCTACACACGCCAATTTACAGCGAGCGGTGTTGCTGAAGCTTGTCCTTCATAAGAAATTTGATTATAAGTGTCAAAGCTCTTTCCAGGTGGAATTATGCTGTTCGGGCTCGAAAATCAAACTGATGGGTGATATCCTGGAGAATCGATATTAAATTGAGCAGGAAGGTTCGTACTCAGGAAGATGTGGCTATCGCAACGTATCTATATTGACTCAAAGTAGCGCTGGCGATCCTCGCAATTCCTCTAGGACTCTGTCGTCGATGGCTTGACTGCAAAAGCAGACTATAATACCAACATTGTGGAGGTACCCAACAGACAGCAGTGAAATAGAAAGAGGACAAGATCCGCTAATCACAGTCACTACCGGGTATGTAAAAAGCAGCACGACAAAGTCTCTGAACGATCTCATAACCTCGCGCGTACTCCCGGCTCGAGATGGTAGAAACGCCTGAAGGTCTCCAGGCAACCTGGATTTATCACGGTAGGGCTGGCCGTCTGTGGCAACTTCCCTGTTGAAATCACCTCTTTGACAAGCGTCTCGACTTTCTTCCCATTTAATGTCATCGGAATTTCCCTCACTTCGACCACAAAGCGTGGAACATGCCTTGGACTTAGGGACTGGCGGATAGTGTCTTTCAGTAGCTTTTCCAAATCGTCGGTGAAAGGGTGTCCGGGACGCATGACGACAAAGAGGAAGACAGACTCGTCAAAGTCAAGCCCTTGCCTCTTCCGGCCAACACACAGCGAGGCGGTAATCGTGGTCAAGAACGGTGCAGCTTCTGTGATGGAATAGATTTCTGCGGAGCCGAATCGTATGCCTTGGGGGTTAAGCACCCCGTCGCTATTGGAGTTAGCTTTGACTCCTTCGGAGAGCACGACAACGCACCTTCTTCCGTGTACTATCCACCCCTTCGTGACAGGATTTACACTTGCCCAATCATGCTGCGCCCAACACGGGAACGAGTATCGATTGAAATACGATGCTCGGTACTTCTCGCCTTGTGAGTCTCCCCACAGGTAGACGGGCATCGAGGGGAACGGCTTTCGGCACACAAACTCTCCTGCTTCGCCAGTGTCCTTGATGGAATGGCCATCAACCGGATCTGCTATATCCACATCGTGTCCGAGAATGGGCATTTGGATTTCTCCCGGGAAAAGTGGCCCAGCAGGGTCCGTCCCACACCAGGAGGTCACCAAGTCAGTTCCTCCAGTCACGCTTGTAAGATGCACTTTTAAGGGGAACACCTTATAGAACCAGCGATACTGATCTGACGCCAGATGGGATCCTCCAGTTTGGACCATTCGGAGACTCGAAAGGTCGTATTCTGTCATTGGCGTACAACCTGTTGATTCTAGCTCTTTGAGATATTTTGGAGAGGCACCCCAGTAGTTCACCTTGAACTTTTCGACGATGCTCAGCATGCTTTGAGGCTCTGGCCAGGTGGGGGATCCATCATATAAGACGAGGGTAGTCCCCATGGCTAAGTGGCCAACCATAATGTTCCAGAGGACCCAGGATGTGCTTGAATATTGAAAGACAACTTCGCCCGGCTTGAGTGAGTTGTGAAGCTTTCCAATCTTTTTGTGTTGTATTATTGCGCCGTGGCTGTGGACAAGGCATTTCGGCGGACCAGATGTTCCACTGGAGTATAAAATGTATAGAGGTGATGTGAAAGGGAGCCTAGCGAACTCTAGGCCGTCTGTGTCATTCGACCTTTCAAGGAAGTCTGAGAGGGGCGGGAAAGTCTCCGCAGCTCCTGTAGGTATAACGAATAGCTCTGGATTTGGTTTGAGTATTTTTAGGATTTCAGAAATCTTGGTGGTATTTGATCGCTGATGGCCTTTGTAAGTGCAGTGGCTATCAGCAAACAATATAGATGGTTGTACTTGTTGCAACCGAGAAATGCATCCCTACTCAAGTTAAAACGTGCCACAGGAGCTCTCATCATGGGACCATACCTCAAGTCCAAGATCCGGAGCGATCGAAATGAAAATGGCCCCGATGCTTGCAGAGGCAAGGAGTAAAGCAATTGACCAGACTGACGTAGATATAAGAGCAGCAATCCTATCACCCCTCCTAATGCCACTTCTAAACAGAGCACTCCTAGCTCTGCGCACATTGACCCTAAGAACTGACCATGTCCAGACCTCGCCATCGAGATGTTGACCCTCTCTTAACCCGATTAGGGCGGGGCACCCGCTGTCGATAAGCGGTTGGATCAATACGTTCTCCGCGTAGTTAATCGTAGCTCCTTCGAAGAACGGGGGTACTTCCGAAATGGAAATAGCTGGATTGTAAGCGCGCTCTATCCCAGGAGGCAAGGTAGGAATCAAGCCGATGAAATCCCAAAGATCAATCCAGAAAGCTTGAGGGTCTGTCACACTCCATTTATGGAGGTCGTGGGAGTCTCTTAACCGAAGATGGAATTTATTGTTGACATGCTCTCTGTAAATGTTCATAGGTATTTGGTTGGCAGGGGTTATTGGCTTCCATATAGGCGTGAGCAATGTTGAGTAGCATTTAAATCGATCTTGGGTAGGGCAGAGAACGTTTGCTGTAGAAGGCATTTTAATATCCACCCTGTGTGCTTTGAGGCCAAGAACACTTAGAAGTCAATACCTGCTTTTATGACCTTTCTTCCCAAGGCCGGCGTAGAGTATAGCACTCCTTAGATATCCGATTGAAGCCGTCAGTGTAGCTAGCCCGGCGTATTGTACTTACCGCGTTACGCCGGGGAACAACCCCAATAAGGTGTACTTATTTCTATTACCCGCTAAACGCCGAGCCAACGAATGGCCAAATAACGGCCCCTTTCGGCGCCCCTATATGGTAAGTTCAGAGGAGTATTTAGGGTCCGCAATCCCCTCAGAAAGTGGAAGGATTGTTAGATCATTAACGACAATCTCGCAAGCATGTCTCCTCTTAAGCCTTCCACTGTGGACAGTGGGTTCATCTTGGTTCCACCCTCTTTAGAGAATCCTTTCACATCGGATGAGTCGTACCAACGCGTTCTCGAGTGGTATCTCCCGTCAGATATCCTTGAAACTGTTAAACGCCATCTTACCATTTTTGCGGAGGAGGCTATCTCACAAGAGATCCATGAATTGATATCAAACGCGGAGTCGCAGCAACCATACATTAAGACTCACAATGTATGGGGTGCCCGTTACCCTTATGATCGATTGGTGACAAGCTATGGGTGGAGGGAACTAGGAAAATGGGGGTCAAAGAATGGGTGAGATCTATTAACAAGTACTCCGTCTCTTGATGATAGTTACTAATAGTTATCGAAGTGTAATAGCAATTGGGTACGAAGAGGAGTTCAAACAATACCGAAGGCTCGTTCAACATGCGTTGTGCGTCTAGTTGTATAATCTGCCTCCTGGGATAGCGCTGACGACGCAGTAACTACACCTTTTCTGCCTCTTCTGCGGTATTTTCCTGCCCTGTTTCGATGACCAGCGGAGCGGCGCGACTTGTATCCAAGCAGCTAAGCTCTGTGGCAGCTGACCACCCACTTCACGAGATTTATCGTCTTCTCACTGCTCGACAAGGGAATTGGATTTCGTCTCAATGGATGACTGAGAGACCAGGTGGCAGCGATGTACAGAACTCGGAAACTATCGCTGTTCACTCTCCGCTGCCTGAAAAGACAGGGCGCTATGGGAATATCGAAGAGGGGGACTATCTTATATCTGGGTTCAAATTCTTTTCGTCGGCTACTGACTGCAACATGGCTCTTATCCTAGCCAAAACAGAATCCGGCAAACTTAGTCTGTTCGTTGCGCCAACCAGAAAGACGGTGCTTATCAATGGGCAGAAACAGCAAGTGTCCAACGGTATTCGAATCCATCGCCTCAAAAACAAGATGGGCACCAAAGAACTTCCGACTGCAGAATTAGAACTTAACAACGTGAGAGCTCATCTTATTGGACCCCTGGATCGCGGAATCGCCACCATCGCACTTCTTTTGAATGTCACAAGAACTCATAACTTTATTACCGCATTGTCTTGCTGGCGTCGGGGCATGGCTATTGCGAAAAATTTTGCCAAGGCTCGAACCACTATTAATCAGCCTTTGTGGACGTTTCCAATGCACCTCCGAATGCTGGCGAATATGGAAGTAAAGCACAGGGGTGCACTCCAACTCGCTTTTTTCACCACCGCACTGTTGAGTTTCGCAGATAACGGATTTCCCCCAGAGCATATCCAACGAACTGGCTACGTACCTTTACCATCTCCAGGAGAACAAACAGAAATCATCCTGAGGACTCTGACTGCGACAGCTAAGGCTGTAATTTGCAAGACAGGCACCTTGTCGCTGCTGGAATGTCAGGAAGCTATGGGCGGTGTCGGATACATGGATGAGCCAGACGAGCCTGAATTCAATATCTCACGCCTCCTGCGTGACACAGCAGCCAACATGACATGGGAAGGTACCACTAATGTATTAAGCAGTGAGGTGGTCAGGCATCTCTTAAACAAGAATGGACACCATCTATCAACTTTCGGCGTTTGGATAAAGAAAGCAATTTCCCGAGTCAAAGATTCTGAGCTGGAAAGTGGGCTGAATGTCGCCTGGACCGAATTCTTCAAGACACTTAACAGCAGGCACGATGACCTGGTCTCTGCACTCGCGATGGGACGGCAGTTAATGTTCACCCTTGCATGGATTGTGGCGGGCACGCTGCTTACACTCGACGCTGAAAGAGATGCGAATGCTTCTGCCATGGAGATTGCGCGACGATGGGTTCTGGAAGGTGAAGGGAATATAGGCGATTTTCATCTTCCGAATGTTGTTAAAGTATCGGAGCGTGTGCTAACAATTAACGATCGAGATAAGATTAACTGGGATTGTCGAATAGTTTGGGGTTTTAATCTACCTAAAGATGCTGCAATAGGTTATCGGAAACTAGCTAACCCAATATATAGGTCTAAACTATAGATAAACATCGAAGTATTTTATTAAAGCTACTACCGTATCACTTAACGAGGTTAGACTCCTTAGTAATAGATTCTTAATAGCGTAAGCTAAGTATAAGAGATCTAAGAAATAAATAGTCGTTATTACTAAGAACGATATAATTTAATAGCTAATATAAATTAACTACGAAGAGAGTATAAACTATCTAGATATTAGGGACCTACGTGTTAGACACAGCCTTGGGAGAGACCGGTCACTAGTTGCACGGATGCGACTCATCACGCTTATTAGACACCTAGAATTGGCCGCGGAGAAACAAGGCTGGGTCACGTGATATGCCCTGTTGGCCCTGTTGGCTCTGTTGGCTCTGTTAGCACAGAGCGCACAGAGCGCACAGAGCGCGCAGAGCACAAGCATTATATATACACCCTCATTACCCTAGATAGTTACACTCTCTCCGTAGCTAACTCATGTTATTTACTGGACTATACAGTTCTTAGTAATAGAGATCCCTGCTCATACCTTGTGTCCTTCCTAACCAGCTCATGCTATTCTAGGATTGTTACTGAGAACCCTAACCTAGTTAGGATCAGTAGGGATCCTTAACACTTTGGCTACCACCCCCGTTGTGAAGGACAACCTCTATGAGCAGACCGAACCGACCCACCTCACCCATAGACGAACTTACACAACGTACTGCACGACTATCACCAAACGATAACGCGATGTCGACGACTATAAGTACACTAAGACCAACACCGAGCACCCTAAGGACTACGGCCAGTGCACCACCACCGGCGTATGGGACAAGCGTGGTAAGCTCATTAAGAGACGTGCCATTGATAGTTAGTAAGAGAAAGATTGGTAACCCATCTAAGCCCTTCAACGGCGTGGAATCTAAACTTATACCCTTCATTCACTATATAAATATATATATCCTAATGAACCTCACTAACTTCTAGAATAACTTATAGAAGATCCTTTTCATAGGAAGCTACTTCGAAGGAGATACTAAGGCATAGTGTAATGAAAGAAGTTGAAAGTAGTGAATAGCGTTATGATTAGCTAGGGCGCCGACTCTAGACTATGATTCTTCTTATATAGTTCTGGGGGACTATCTTTCATACAATACATAAGTAACCAAGTTACCAATAGAGAGGACTTCCCCTAGTTAAGTGTGCGCGTTGGGAAGAGACCATACCCACCGCCGTACGAGTTAATACCTATGGCTAGTAGCCTCGCCCTAGTTCAGTGATGCCACCAACAAGATCTTCGACGAATACTTATAGATGGGTGTCTCTCTACGAGCGGTGGGAGGAAATTACGAAAAACAACTAAAATAAACTGCTTACTAAACCAATAGAACTAAAGAACTACCTACCTACCTATCTAACTAAATCTAGAGAAACTAACTATATATATAGAACCGCTGCGCAGAGTATATCATTTAGATCACTGGCTAAGTAAGTCTATCCCGCTGTACGGAGCGGTTTACGCTGGCTATTTATGAAGACCGCTACTCGGGGTGCCTTTTAAGATTACTAACTATATATATTTACTGCCACTATATAAGGTGAAGACTAACGACTTAACGACTATTTAAACTATCTAAAAGAAATGAAAGAGAAGTATCTCCCAGGAATATAGGAATGCGTTTAACCCTAAAAACTCCTAACTTAAGAAGCTTAGAAGGAGTTAAAGAACGTAAATCTACTTAAGAAATAATAAAAATAAGCGGTTGAACTAGACTCGCTAAAATAAGCGAAGTTAGAGCGCTACTAACCGAGAAGTAAATCTAGAATTTTAATAAAAATTATTAGTAAAGATAAGAAAAAAGCTCAACGAGAAAGTTAGTAAAGAGATAAAGAGAAGAAGAGAAAAAATAATAATAAAAGTACTAAAAATAATAAAATATCTAAATCTTTTAGTTTCGTTATTAAGATTTTACACTATTTCGATTATAAGAGAAGAAGTAAGAATAATTTAATAAAGAAAAATATTGTCTACGGAAGAATTAAATAATAAAGAAAAGCTAGAGTCTTCTACGATATTAAGTATTAGCTTATAAGATCTATCGACGTTAAATTCGACGATATAATCGTTATATATTTCTTCTACTATAATATTAATAAGAGAAATATCTTAGAGCTTAAACGAGAGTAATAATCTTCTATACTTTAATAGAAAGAACGCTATCTTTTTCTTCGAGAAGTTTAAAGAACTATATAAATATAACTAGATTATATTAAGCGAAGAACGTATCCATAGATCTATTTACTTTATATTTAAAGTAAAGAAAGAACGCTATAAAAAGCTCGCTAAGTATAACGTAATGAAGTAAGAAAAGTTTAAAGAGAAGATCTTAAATGAATATAAAGATCGGAACGAAGTACAGCGAATAATAAGTATTTAATATCTTTAGGTACTCGCGAAACATCGACGAAAGAAGTCTTAAAGTCTAGAGCTATATCTTCGTTAATTTCGTAAGGCTACGACTTATCTAATTAGAACCGAAGTCGAGATTAATTATACTTACTATCGCCTTCTTTTATTAGAATTACTAAAGACTTATATAGATAAGATTCGAAAGAAATAAAATTTAATGAATCGAAAGCCGAAGAATTTAAACTTTTAGAAATACTA